ACAAAGGCGGACGAGGTGTAACAGCGAAAAAAGAAAAAAGAAAAAAAACGTCAAAGAGACAATAAAAATACCTACGGGTGTAACTACCAACGTACAATTGGACCAGCTGGCGAAGCGTATGGGAGTACCATACTTCAGAGGCGTTTTCATGCGTGACGCATTACCGATTAGCGGCGCGCGTCGAAAAGAGAGCGGTATCGTAAATCTGGATGACACGATGGGTTCCGGCACTCATTGGATAGCGTACGCAAAGAGAAACGATCGTGTTATATATTTCGACAGTTTCGGTGATCTTCGACCGCCGAAGGAATTGGTACGATATTTCGGAGACAATGTTATGATAGAGTACAATCGAACGTCCTATCAGACGTACGATCAGAGCGTCTGCGGACAGCTGTGTTTGTGGTTTCTCCAAACGACGCGCATGAATTTATAAAGTCTGACAAAATGCCGCGACGTTTCAGTATTCGTTGAACACTTTTCCATCATGTCGCTGACGCTTACATTAAGCGGGAAGAGCAGCATTCTCGCGGCAAACTACTTTCCAGCCATAGATTTGAACGACGATGACTACGAGCTTGGTCTAACAATTTTGGAGACTTATCACACGATACCGAATGTAAACGTTTCGAACAACAAATTTTGACAAAGACGACGCAGAAATTACGATTCCTGAGGGGTCGTATGCACTGCAAGCCATAAATGAATTTTTGAAACGTGAGATTTTACGAAAACATCCGCGACGCGACACATCCGATGGTAACACCGGTGACACCGCGCGCGGCGATGATGACATTGGTGAATACCCGATAGTGCTCCGCGCAAATTACAACACGATGAGGTGTGAGATTAAATGTGATTACAGAATAAACTTTAACAAGCCCAATAACATTGGATTGCTGCTTGGTTTCTCGTCAAAGCGTATATTGCAACCGCGAAAATGGTATAAATCGGACATGTCAATCAACATAATGAATATAAACATTATCCGTGTAGAGTGCAACGTGACCGCGGGCGCATACAGCAACGACAAAAGTGTGCACACGATACACGAATTTTCGTCGAGCGTGGCGCCAGGATATAAGATATCGGAAAGGTCGATGCAAATCATTTACTTGCCAGTCATCGTACGGAGCATTACGAAGCTAACGATACACATTATTGATCAGAACGGACGATTGCTCGATTTCAGAGGAGAAGAGATCACTATCAGATTGCACGTACGACGGCGACAGCGATAACGCGAGCGCGACATTTGGGATGCTCGTGTTGAACGAAACGAAGCACGTGCAGAGAGATAACGTATTTTTTATAAAGAAAACACCAATCGACAATACTCGCTCATCCGGTTGCATCAAAAAGAGAAAGAAACTCAACGCATCGAACGTTAAATTTTTACAAGCTTTAGGATTCGCGGTGCGCAATTTGTGAGATGACTGACATCCTAAACATCAAAGACGAACCAATCTTCGACAATCGCATCTTCAAAATTGAAACTCATACGTATAACCCATTCGCCATTATAACGTTTGGGTACAGTGATGAGATAAGAATACCCATACAGCAACAAGATCTGTACATATTGCCGTACGAAAGCTTTCTATATATCGAGGGAAAATTAACGAAGAAAATGTTGTCGACGGATCTGATGTGATGTTGGGAAATAATTGTGTGGCGTTCATGTTCGATGAGATTCGATACGAGCTCGATGGCGTAGAGATTGATCGTAACAGAAACGTGGGCATAACTAGCGCGCTCAAATACTACGTAACGACGTCATCCGAGAGAAGCGTGATTCTGAGAAATGCTGGCTGGGATGCGCGTACCAACGCGGATGGATATTTTAACTTTTGCGTTCCTCTCTACGTACTGTTAGGATTCTGCGAGGATTACAGACGCGTAATCAACGCTCGTCACGAGTTGATCTTAATACGATCGCGCAACGACAACAATTGCCTGATGGGAAATTCGGCATTGGATCCCGTGATCGACTTATTCAAGATACAATGGCGAATGCCGCACGTGTTGAACGAGATAACAAAACTATCGATGCTGCGCACTTTAGAGAGCGGACGATACTTGAGCATGGCTCGTGGGATCTGTACGAATTTCCGCTGTTACAGCGTACAACCAAGCATTCGTGGGCCATCAAGACCGCTACTCAGCTGGAGAAGCCGCAATATGTCATCTTCGCTTTGTAAATAGGCCGAAAGAACATCATGGCCGAGGATACGAGCCGATTCGACGACTGCAACTTGACCAACGTGAAACTCTATCTGAACTCAGAATGTTATCCGTACGATGATATGAATCTGGATTTCGAAAAAAACAGATGGTCTGTGTTGTACGAAACGTACGCGCGTTTCTGCAAAAACTACTACGGATACGAGTATCTCGAGCCAAGTCTTACCCTCACGTCTTTTCTATGTTACGGTCCATTCGTAATCATCGATTGTTCTCGACAAAACGAATCAGTCAAGACGCAACCGTGGATGTGAGATTGGAATTTGAGACTAAGGAGAACGTACCGATGAATACCACCGCGTACTGTCTCATTACACGATCGCGTGGTTCAGTACAACCCGTTGACCAATGTTGTACGCAAGATCACCTAAGACCATCGCTGGTATATGAGAGACAATAAAATCTATACATCGAAATCGATCGCAGTTTTCTTCTCGACAGTCATGTCTGTGCCAACGTTCGTAGATCCGCAAGGTTTCCTCGTTGAAGGACAGTTTGTCGTAAAAGAGTTTGCTGCTCTTAAAGAACGGACCGTTCTCTCTCATTACATTTTCGCAAGCCCTATACCGTGGCATTTCCTGGCAAGTGCCGACAAATCTCGCGCACGCTGGGTGATATGTCATCATCATAGACTGCAATGGAACGACGGAACGATTCCGTATAGCGAAGCTAAAAGTTTGATTACGAAAGCTGTGCATGGTACGAAAGAAGATAACGATGACGACGTCGACGATGATGCTGTCATATATGTTAAGGGACACGAAAAACGAAATGGTTGCGGAATTTGCTTCTGGACGATGAGCGAGAGCGCGTGTACATCGAGATCCTAGATGCGGATTACGAAGACATAGATTCTTTAAATAATCTAGATGCTGATAATTCTATACGATGTGGATATCATTATACCAATTGCGCGTTACAAAATGTATTT